ATATTTTTGAATGTGTGACTTGTTACAGTTGCAATCAGTGAAATGAGCAAAACAAAGCCCCTTCACATAGGAGCAGAAGTGTTGTCTTACTATCTGCAGTGCAGTCTGGTTTTAGAAGTTTCTTTCTTCTCATCCTACATGACTCTAACTAAAAGCACTCCCACTTTCATCCATCTTGTGCTCTGTGATTACCATGCAGCAAAGGAGTGTTAGCAGGTGAGAGAGCCCTTCTTGTTAATACCTTCCTTCATGATTTTGCTTGCATTTTTGAGAACTCTTTTTGGAGAAACAATATGTTAAAAATAGACTGCATTATAGCTTACCATTTTGTGCGTGTGTGCCAAAGAGCAAACAAAACCTTCACTTTTATGATGTTTCCATACATATCCATTCTCATATTTTCATCTAGAGCTTGTAAATTGTGCTCCAGGGCTGCCCCTAAACCAGCTGCTTCTCTTCTGGGGTCTGCAGCACACATGGAGCTAAACTGGTAGGAAGACCCTGCACTGGGCACAGTTAGTGTATGTGGTGCTTACAACCAACCCTGCAGCTGTGCTCCTGCTGGGTCATGCTGATTGTTACTAGAGTCTTTGCCTGCTAAGAAATAGTATTTTTGAACCTGAAGGAACTGATTGCTTATTTAATGACACACTTAATTTATATTTCTTTCAATCTGCATTCTTAAGTAGAGAAAAATAACTTGGTAGACTGCTGTGAGAACAAAACAGACATCTCCTCCTGAAGCTGGCACTGAGGACTTATCCTCCAAGCTGCGGAGTATCCCACTATCCCTGTGAATGTGCAGTTTGCCATTAAGCATAAAAACTGGAATCCAATAACTTCTTTCCTTTGAGCAAAACATGTTTGGGATATTACTCACTGTAACTAAGAAAAATGTTTTTCATTAGACTGGGTGATTTTTATTTTATTGATTTCCTACTCAAAATTGTACATAAGCATAGAATACAAATCTCTATGTATTATTTTTAAATGACTAATATTAAGTGCTATGAAGCGATGTTTTGCTTGCTATCATAAATTAGGATGTATGAGATATATATATATATAATTATTTTAATCTTTGAATTGTCAGCAAGTTTGCAGATGTTTTTGTTTCCTTGTTCGGACTTATGGTTATCAATAGACTGAGGCCCATTTTATCTTTCTGCAATATGATCATATCCTAACAGCTACTCCCTGAAGTGTCTGCAGTACAAATCTCATTTTATGTGTATTAAAAACAGTAGGGAATCTCAAATCAGCTCACTAAATAGCTTTCCTGCAACACCTTATTAAGAAAGTGGAAACTAGTATAGTTGCCACTTTGCTGTTTCAAAAGCATTAAATCTGGCAGCCACTAAACTCCAAGCTTATGTTGTTTGTACACAAAAGACATTTGAAGGTGAAATGAGAGAAAAAAATAGCTTTATTAAAATACATGTTAAATTAACCAGAATATGTGTTTTAGGGAGCTGTGCAGCACTTTGAATATGTTACTCAAGATCTGATGAGAGAAAAGTAATTGATTAATTAGACCAAAATTTTTAAAATAAATGTATCAGAAATTTTATGATTTAAAGTTCAAGAAAAGCTGTGGTGTATCTTAAGGTTTCAGATTTATTTCACATACAACTGTAGTTTTCTGGTAAACAAATCAATGCCTTACACTGTTATTCACAGATCTGCTCTATACCTTTTAGTTACATGTCATGATCTGATAACACACGACATTAAGAATGCCCTTGGGCCAGTCCCTTATCTCTGTGTGCTTATGGTTATCTTCTGTGTAAGTTTTAACAAGGTTTCTCTGTCCTTTTCATGTGTTTTGAAATTTAGAGAGGAGTAGCAGTTCTAGCTGTGCATCTGTGGAGCATTGCTGTGCCATCAGTGTCTTTAAAGAAGCATCGTTCGGTTTCTTTAAGCATCCAAGAGTTCCCAGTTTTACAAATGGTACTTTTGAAAGAAAAGGATAGCATTACTGATCAGAGGGTGGGAGAGTGAGAGTTGTCCTTGAAAGTGCAAGGTAGCAAAAGCATTGAACGTTTGCTCATTGTCAGAGTCTTGATTCTGCACTTGTTCTGAGTATGGAAGGAAGGATTTGGCATTCAGCCCTGTGGAGAAGGACCTGGGGGTCCTGATAGATGTAAAACTTAATATGAGCCAACAGTGTGCTCTTGCGGCTCGGAGGGCAAATGGTTTCCTAGGCTCCATCAAAAGAGGGGTGGCCAGCAGGGACAAGGAGGTGATTGTCCCCCTCTAATCTGCTCTTGTGAGGCCCCATCTGGAATACTGCATCCAAGTGTGGAGCCCACAGTACGAAAAAGACAGGGAGCTGTTGGAGAGGGTCCAGAGGAAGGCCACGAATATGATCAGGGGACTGGAGCACCTCCCCTATGAAGACAGGCTGAGGGAGCTGGGCTTGTTCAGCCTGGAGAAAAGAAGGCTGCGGGGTGACCTCATTGCAGCCTTTCAATATCTAAAGGGAGCCTACAGAGGGGAGGGGAATCCACTCTTTGAAAGGGGTTGATATGTGTAGGACGAGGGGAAATGATTTTAAGTTGAGGAAGGGAAGATTTAAGTCAGACACCAGGGGGAAATTCTTTACCCAGAGAGTGGTGAGGTGCTGGAACAGGCTGCCCAGAGAGGTTGTGGATGCCCCGTCCCTAGAGGTGTTCAAGGCCAGGTTGGATGGGGCCCTGGGCAGCCTGGTCTGGTATTAAATTGGGAGGATGGGTGGCCCTGCATGTGGCAGGGGGTTGGAGATTCATAGAATCATAGAATCATAGAATCACCAAGGTTGGAAAAGACCTAAGAGATCATCCAGTCCAACCGTTCACCTATTCCCAATAGCTCCCACTAAACCATGTCCCTCAACACAACATCCAGCCTTTCCTTGAACACCCCCAGGCTCGGTGACTCCACCACCTCCCTTGGCAGTCCATTCCAGTGCCTGACCACCCTTTCTGAAAAGTAATATGATCCTTGAGGTCCCTTCCAACCCTGGCCATTCTGTGATTCTGTGATTCATTTATGTGTTTTAAAACATGAGTGTATAAATAGGTATGTGAATATTTGCCAGGACATTTTCAACTGTAAAGTAACAGTTGCTTTTGACAGTTGTGATTGAAGCATCCATCTAAAAAATTCCTGCTGATTTATTATTTTGTTCTGTTCCTCTTTCTTTTCCCCTGCTAACATCATAAATCCACCTGGGCTAGGAGGCAAAGCCCACAGAGTTATGTATGCAGAATTGATAGCCCCAAAATCAGAATTTGCCAACACTGGACAACACGAAAGTACATGTGTAAATTAGAATCAGGCTGTACTTAAAAAAAATTAATAATTCATTTCAGTGTGCCTGTGAGAGGACAGAAGTATCATTTATGGGATCACTTAAAGGGTGGTAGGGAAAGATCTGGGTTTTGTTCAGAGTTGCTGCCAAATATAATTCACACTCTTATTTCATCACATAATTCCTTCAAAAATTAAACGAATAACCTTGATAATTATTTGGAAAAAAAAAAAAAAAAAAAAAGGAAATTACTTTTCTCAAAATATTATTGGCAGATCTGTGTGGGAACATGTATCATGCAGCGCCTGGTGTTGCTGATATTAGTCGTCATCATTTTGAAACCAAAATCCACAAGCAGCTATAATTCTATTACAATAAAACTTAGGAAATCAGTTACAGAGTAATGAATGTAATGGAAAATACTACTTTGATTCAAACTGAATTTAATATTCCTGTAAAAAAAGTGTCTGCATGAGTGACAGTTTTTACACAGCATGTAAAGGGAGACTGTTTGTATGTTACTACTGTATAGATGTGTACAAACGTACACACATACGTCCACACAAACACATTGGTTTTGTATATAGTCAGTCCATGATTTTAATTCATCAGCAAATGTTGTTAATAAAAACAAGGAAACATACCGGTTCCCCAGAAAGCAGCCTAAAGCCTGACCTCAACTACTCAACAAGGAAGAAATTCCCTGTACTGGTGTAAACACATCATCCAGTGTGTTAGGCTACAAACCATGGAAGTCCTTCAGCTTCTTCACCAGACTTTGCATTCATTTCTTCTTTTGTTAGCAGTATTTTATTAAATTACCGATCAGTCTAGATCATCAAAAGTGGTGGACGCTGTGACGTGTCAGGAAATCTCTAACATCTGTTCTGGCTTCTATGCTGTGGATTGTAGGAATGTGCAGACTGGCTTGTAGGAATCATGAAATATGTTGATTGAAAGGATTCTTCTGTAAATGAAGTATTTAATGTGCTTCTTACCTTTTTGAGTTTGATAGAAGTAACAGAATTTACCAAGTTAGTCATGTTTTTAGTATTTTTTCATATTTTGCGTACAGTAGCAAATGAAAAATTGATAAGGCTCCCAAGAAAAATATTGAGGGTCAGTAGTGCAGAGTGCAGTACGTATGTAAGTACATACATAGTGCATTTCAAAATCCACCAGTTTAGCTTTTGATGGGTTCTTTGTTCTTGATTTTAAAGGATCAAATAAAATAGCACTTGTTTGAAAAATAAAAGTTCTTGAACTCTATTGATCTTACAAGGAGCGATCTTTTGCCAAAGTTTTTAAGGATGTATCCTAAATATATTTGTGTTTAAATGAACTGTTTCAATAGCGGAAGCATCACAGTTGGACTTGCTCTACTCTTTATTGAGTTACTCTGTATTTATTTTGAAAGTAAGCTGATGCTTCATGGAATAAATTGAAATGGATAAGTTTTCTCTACATAACTGTGAAGTCTGAAAGCCCACAAAAAAGGTTGCAATAGAATTAGGCACAAAATACTTGGAGAATGAATGCAACTTGGAAAGATTTTTACAGTAGTCTGAATGCGCCTGGCAAGATTTGTTTCTGGCATTTTTTTGTTTTAACCTGCTAGTGTTGTTATTGAAATAGTAATTATTATGTTGTTATTGTATTTTATACTTGAATGTTGTTTCTCAGTTTGCTTTTTTCCCCCCCATTTAAGATTCCAGAGGCTTATTTTATTAGAGATCCTCATACTTTCCTCCTTACAAAGGAATTTATTAAGGTATATGTGTTCTTTTTAGAGCAACAAAGCTCTCGAGACCTGAACTGCATGTCCTCACAGGTTAACATTTTCACATATAACGCCAGTTACTGGAAATGAGCCTGGTTAGTTGAGTAACCGAAGCATGCTTGAAAGGAGAAGCAGAGCTTGTCTACAAAATACTAACACTTGGCTGAGTCTGCAGCCTGGGAGGAGAGCACCGGGTGAATTTTCTGGACTTTTTTCATGGCTGACTTGGGATGTGCCTGCACTGTCACTGAGTGTGTTGACCTCTCTCCTTGATGCATATTGCTCCTGACAGTCCCTCTGCCTTCCCCGCAGGCCATGGAGGCGCAGATCCAGAACTTCGGGCAGACGCCATCGCAGTTGCTCATTGAGCCCCATCCGCCGCGGAGCTCTGCCATGCACCTGGTGAGACATAGCTGCTGGTGGGGAATTCATTGCCTTTGAATCGGAGGCTTCTTTATAGGTCATCAAGTATCCCTTTAAGGAACGCTTTAATGCCCTCCGCTGCCCATACAGCTGTACACAGTGTGGCAGAGCAAGGTGGAATTTGACTAGCCTTAACTTTCTGTAGTCCTGGCTTTTCCTGCATAATATTGCATAAAAAGGCTCTTTCTTCATAAATATGCACTTCATAAATACATATTTAGATTCTTATTTCTGCAAGTACTGGGAATGACTCCGGGCTCTTCTTGCAGTGAGTCTGTTGTTATTTATTTATTCATTCATTTTCGAAGGAAACTTTGTTAGGGGGTGATATATGGACAATGCCTGCTTGCCAGAAATGAAACAATATAGTTCAAATCGTGCTGGAATCCTCCCTTCTGTTCCCCTGGGAGAATACAATTTATACTTCTTTCTAATTTCAATTTGAACTTCAAAATTCATTCCCAGTATGTTCTTCTTTCTGCTTCTTGCAAAAAATTATACAAAATAGCAAGACAGAATGAGACAGATCTCTGTGTTACTCAGTGCCTTTGATTAAATGCTTAGAGCTATATTTTTTCCTCTAAGCTTTGTAAATCAAGAGTAATGCATACAGTAATTTCATTAATTTCATCTGTTCACAAGGAACTCACGTTTCTGGTTGCACACTATGAAAATGGGAATTGGTCTGGAAATGCCAGCTATGTTGTTACAAGTACTGTGTAGACGTTAAACATATATTTTATATTCTTAAGGTATCGATAATAAATGTCATTTGTATTTTATATTTATATTTAAAGTTATATTCAAAAGGAAAGGATTATTTGAACTTCTAAAAATACACATATTTGTTATAGCACTGGTTGAAAAAAGTAACATTAAGAACAGTACATGATATAATCTCACGTGGTAACACTGCTGCTGTTTGTGAAAAATTACCTGTGTCACCTGTAGAATCACTGAACTGATTTATAATTACTTATGAGTAATAAGTAAATGCTTTGCACAGAATTAAAATGTCTCCTGATGTTTAGAAGTGATGTATTTCATATCATTCATTAACATCAATCAAGCATTCATTAAGAAAAATCAAATATCTGAAAAAATGTAAATCTGAAATTTTGAGTTCCTCTTAAAATTTCTTGTTTTCAGCCATTATAACTTGTAGCAATTACAAATGGATTCTTTTATTTTACTCATATCTCTATTGCATGGATACTAACTGCTGTATCATTTTGCATTTTACTGTGTATTAATTAATGCTAGCAATCATTATGTACCCTGTAATGATAACCTGGTGGACCCTTGCCATTCCTATTCTCTACTTGTCCTCATGTAATGACCCAATATTAGCTTCTGATCTTGCTCTCCTCTGTCACTAGTGTAGATGCACAGGTAGCATTGTTTTCCCTGTATGTGCACGTGTTTGCCTGCTCTTTTTAACCTTGTTTTCCCTCAGACCTCCTCACTAATTGTGTTATCCCTTCTGTTTTCTTCTGCTCTCTTCTCCTTTCTACTCAACAGTGTTTCCTTCCACAGAGCCCCCTCATGTTTAAAGATCAGATGCAGCAGGATGTCATAATGGTGCTGAAGTTCCCATCAAACTCTCCGGTCACACACGTGGCAGCCAACACGCTGCCCCACCTGACAATTCCTGCCGTGGTGACCGTCACCTGCAGCAGGCTCTTTGCTGTCAATCGGTGGCACAACACAGTAGGTAGGTCCTCACAGCTGGATTTCTTTCAAAACTGAAGATCTTAACAGCGCAGCTTTTAATTTCGAGTGGAGATAGGTAGATATGAGTTAATCTCACTCACTTGCGTGTGTACAAATACATAGCAAACGTACAGTTATTCTGGTTTCTGTCAAATATTCAAAGCTTCTGTTTACTCTGCTGTCATCCCTAGAAGCACTCTCTATAAGAGCAGCACATTCCCATGGCAGCCAGTCGATTTGTAGTTACATCAAGATCAGACTTTGATATAATAATTTTCAGGAGCACGCTACTGTTCTTGACACAATCTATATCAATATGTTCCAGGCTTCAGAAAAATGTACTGGCATGCATCACTGTCTACTGCTTGTGAGAGCTTTCAGGCCTTCCTCTGGGTCACAGCGTGGTAATGTGGGACCGAAAGCAAACTGAAGGCAGGATTGTTCTGAACAGAATTTTCCTCATTCTGTCTCAAACTGAATGAAATCAAAAGCCCATTTAGTGGGGTCAGGCCACGTTTCCTTTCCTGTCCTTGCTCACTTCTCCATTGCCACTAGGACTCTCCTGTCTCCTCCCCATCCCTGGAGGCATTTAAGACCAGGTTGGAATGGGGCCCTTGGGTAACCTGAGTGGCAACCCTGCCCATTGCAGGAAGGCTGGAACTGGGTGGGATTTAAGGTACCTTCCAACCTAAGCCATCCTGTGATTCTATGGTGCTTTGATTCCTCACCCGGCCTTGCAAGTACACAGATTGTCCCGTGCATTGCTGAAAATGTGGTGGACCACAAGCTGCAGCCCCACTCAGGAATGAAGGTGTCTTTCTGCTCTGATGGCCCTCATGCTGCAACATATGGAAATTTTTGAATGTGTCTTACCACCTGGAAAAAACAAGAAGTTGCCTCACGTTTCAGAGTGTGACTCAGTAGCTGATTCGGAAGCTTTGTCAGGACTGAGCAAAAAAGAAAAATCCATCCCCTCTTTACAGCATAGGAGGACTCCCTGGACAGAAGTAGGCCCTTCAGGAGATGAAATAGTGAATTTGAGTTAAGAAGTCTCCCTCCAGTAGAAGTAAAGGAACTCTAGATTAATTAGAGGTTTCACTGCCTTAACTATAGACATCTCCTCAGTAAATAAGTCAAGTGAAGCAGATCCCATCTTTTTTGCACAAGACTAACCACAGACTTGTGTTAAAATTCATAATTAGAGGACTGAATGGGAATTCCCTTACAGGCATGCATTTAGAGGAACTATCAGTGAGAAAAGTTAATACCACACTGAATTCTTGAGTAGTAAAAGAAGCTGTAATTGGAATTTTATTCTGACAGCTAAATAATGTTAGCATGAATATTAAAATTTCACACATATTCAGATGGTTCCTATTTTTTTTTAAGAAACTCTGTGTGTTGGTTTATAGAATACAACTGAAATAGAACAGAACAGGATACCTGGTTGCCTTTCACAAACTTTGAATTTTTGATACTCCAACAGGTGCAATGGCATCAGATGTAAACATGTTTTGCCCATTTCTTTAAAATGAAAAATTAAGGAAAAAAATAGTAATTTCTTTACATAATTGTCCTCAAGGAAAGAACTAAGTGTCAAAAATGATTCAGAGATACAGAAGCTGCCCACTAGTATTTTAGGTTTTTTTTATTAACAATATTTGTCTGATCTGTAATTGATTCCCCTATATTTTTTCAGGGATGCTGCCTAAGTACTCTGCAATTATCAACATTCTAGACACTTCCGTATGAGGAGGCTCATTTAGTACTTTTCTATTTATTTTCTTACTACATGGTCACACGAGGGAAAACCAAAATTCCTACATATACTTTTCTGTGAAGGAGTCAAAGTCACTAAAACAATAGTATCCTGAAGTTCAAGCATTTTCTTAGCAATTATTATTTAGAGAAGTCTTCTAGTTCGCTAGAAGTCTTGTTGGCCTTTATAATGCCTATAAGTTGTGGTTTAATTTTCCGTACACAATCCTGTCACATAGTAAATATGCAGAATTCACATTGCGAATCAACCATGGAAGAAAAAAAAACAACCAACCTCAGGTATAAATTTAAATGGGATAAATAATTTCTGAATATATTGAAATAGCAGGAAACAGGAAAGAAAAGCTGTTTGGAAAATCAAAATCTGGTCATTTCATTTCAGGAAGGAGCATCAGTTTTCAAGTATAACCATCTTTTTTTAATCATAGGTCTAGCATAAAGGATATCTATACACACACCCCTTGTTGTAAGATTTCTGTAAAGATTCAAGAGTTCATACACAGTAAAAGTCATTTACATGCCCATGTCACAATGAGATTTAGTGAGTCGCAGTAAATTCCAGTAAAAATCTGTCCCAGACTGATTTGCTTTTTAAAAAAGAGAGAGAAATGGAGGAAGGATAATGAGAAGTTATAAGAGCGATGTTTTTCAGAAGCTGACAGGATCAGCTGTAGGCCTTGTGGGGTTTTGTTTTGCCTTCTCAAGTCACCTATTGCAACAGTAGAAAATAGCAATTATGACTGAATACAGAGATTGTTAGTGGAGTGTTCCCAATGTATAACATAAGACAAAAGAGTTAGAAATATGAACAAATCCACAGTAGGCCAAGGAACACAGAATCACAGAATCACAGAATGGCCAGGGTTGGAAGGGACCTCAAGGATCATGAATTTCCAACCCCCTGCCACATGCAGGGCCACCAACCTCCCCATTCAATACTAGACCAGGCTGCCCAGGGCCCCATCCAACCTGGCCTTGAACACCTCCAGAGATGGGGCATCCACAACCTCTCTGGGCAGCCTGTTCCAGCACCTCACCACTATCTCTGTAAAGAACTTCCCCCTGACATCCAACCTAAATCTTCCCTCCCTCAAGTTATAACCATTTCCCCATGTCCTGCAGTTATCAACCCCTTTCAAAGAGTTGATTCTCTTTCTGTTTCTGGGCTCCCAATAGATATTGAAAGGCTGCAGTGAGGTCACCCTCCAGGCTGAACAAGCCCAGCTCCCTCAGCCTGTCTTCATAGGGGAGGTGCTCCAGTCCCCTGATCATCTTCATGGCCCTCCTCTGGACCCTCTCCAACAGCTCCCTGCCTTTCTTGTACTGCGGGCTCCAGACCTGGACGCAGCATTCCAGATGGGGCCTCACAAGAGCAGAGTAGAGGGGGACAATCACCTCCCTGTCCCTGCTGGTCACCCCTCTTCTGATGAAGCCCAGATTACCATTTGCTTTCCGAGCTGCAAGGGCACGCCAGTCTCAATCATCAGTGTGCTCCGAGTTTGTTCTCAAGAACTTTATATCTCCTCTTATGGAAGATATTCTTGTGCAACATGGCAGTTCTAGACAAAAAAATTTCTTTTCTTCACGGACTATTGTGACTTACACAATGGGAAGAGTCTTCAGAAGAGCCAAAGCAATGCTATAAAGGCCTGAAAGCAGATATTACTAAATATTCAGTCCTTGCTGCAAATTAGAACATCTAAAGGACTGCTGAAGATGGGAATGATTATGATAAATTTACTGTAGCCTTCAATTTCCCAGCAAAATATTCTAGATAAATCCACGCAAAGGCCCAAGTTTCTCCACAGAGATTTCAGTAGCATTCATACAGTTATAATTTCTGTTTCATAACCAAAGAGTAAAGAAGTCTGTATTTCTATAGCAGAGAGGAAAAAATATTTAAAGACTCATAGAACAAGAAATAGTAAGAAGTATTATTTGGATATAGTAATTTCACAGTAGTTTTAAACCTAGAAAAATCATAGAAAAAAATATAAGATAACAAGGTTCCTATGTTCTTTATTTTCCTTTCACATTTAGGCCTTCGAGGAGCCCCAGGATATTCTTTGGATCAAGCCCATCATCTTCCAATTGAAATGGATCCATTGATCGGTATGTCAAGATAAAAACATAGAAATATATTTGAAAATGGCATTTTCAAAAATTGTTGATTAAGATGTATTTGTATACTATGCTTCTTTTAACATAGAACATAGGAAAATATTTATTTTTGTCAGTCCTAGAAAATAAAAAGCATTACCTATTGATGCTGAATGGACTGCAAGTGTTATTTGTTAACATCATCAGCAATTGGTATTTAAGAAACAACTAATTAAGTCAGTTACACTGTCAGTCCGTATTTATAATTCTGTTCTCTTATCAGGTCACATTAATAAAATAAAACGTGAGGGTCTGGCAGAGCTCACGGTTTTTAGTTTCATACAAGCTCTTTGTATAGCAGTTAATGTAAACTCGTTTCATTAATTTATGATTGGGATTTTCTTAGTAGGGATTACTAAATTAATAGCCCAATTATTGCATTTTAAATTGTTGTACTACTAATCTACAACAATTGTTGTAGTACAAATCTAAAAATATTTTTAGAAGTTGACTATTTAAAAATAAGTACCAGCTGAAATTGTTTGAGTGCTATTAATAAAGGTTGTGACCCCGTGCTTACAGTTGATGGTATTTCTCTTTAATTGAAACTGTTTGCTTTATCTTTGTAAATTTTTGTAATAGGTGCAGTTTTGAGTCAGAAGTTGTGGGTAGGGATGGTTCTTAGAGCAAATTTTGAAGGACCACTGAGAAAAAAACAAACGTTTTTAAACATCTGTAAATGAAAAGTTAGTTGTCAGTATTTGTGATCGAAAGATTTGTGTACAAATATCTCAGGAGAGTTAATTTTATCACAATATATGCTTAGTTTTCTCATATAAAGACAGTGTTTTTGTTAGATTTTCCTCTCAAAAGCTGGCGAATTACTATTGTGCCCACCTGTTCTGAAAATCTGAGTAATTTGTTATATTTCATTGGATGGCCATAGAGTCTCTGGTGATTTACATTTATGTTCTTGAAACATACGTAAACCTGGTATTAACATGTATAAGGAATTTTAAATTAGTGGACATTCTTGTTAAGTCTCTTATTTCATGCAGTTGTGAGAAATTTAAGTAGAATAATCAAAAATGGGGACAAAAGAAATTTCAGAGCATTATGTGCAATAAGTCATGTTCCTATGGACACATTCTCTCTGAGTGAGTTTGGATGTGGTGCTTTGGATGTGGTGAGTTTTGTTCTCTCTGAGTTTAACATTTGGATGTGGTGCTCAGGGACACGATTTAACGGAGAGTTGTTAGGGTTAGGGTAGTATGGTTAGGTTGTGGTTGGACTTGATGATCTTGGAGGTCTTTTCCAACCTGAACAATTCTATAATTATATGATTCTGTGATCTCAGCTAGCTTCAGTCATTGGAAGTTAGTTGTAAAGATTTCCTCTATAGCTACTGTCAGAAGTGAAACTGTCCTCTGGAATTGTATAGCTCTGAGACAGCTATTTCAGTGTGAGATGACATGCTATTTGAAGCGATGTCTCTACAGTGAGTACAGATGAAGTGCAGGTAAATAGCTTGTATACCAAAGTGTTAGAATATTAATACTAGGTGAGAATACACCTTTACTGAATTGCTAAATCCTGCCTCTAATGCAATGGGAAGTCAAGAGCAAGTTAGTTAATGACTCACATTCCTTCTTAACTGCTCCATTTGACATATGGGATGGTTGGCTTCAGTAGTAATCATTCCTTTTCCCTCTGAGGGAATTTCCAAGTATTGCCTATGGTGTGAATACTATTCCTTATGGCCTGTGTTTAGTTTTGGGCCCCGCACTACAAGAAAGACGTGAAGGACTTGGAGTGTATCCAGAGGAGGGTGACGAGGCTATGAAGGGTATGGAGGACAAGTCTTATGGGAAGTGGACGAGGGAGCTAGGACTGTTCAGTATGGAGGAGACTCAGGGAGACGTTATTGCTCCCCAAAACTGCCTGAAAGGAGACTGAGATGAGGTGGAGATTGGCCTCTTCTCGCAGGTAACAGCAGTAGAACAAGAGGTAATGCATAAGGTAATTGCTTCAAGTTCCACCAGGGGAGGTTCAGCTTGGGTATTAGGAGAAGCATTTTCTCCAAAAGTGTGGTCAGGCATTGGAAGAGGCCACCCAAAGAGATGGTGAAGTCACCATCCCTGCAAGTGTTCAAGAAATGTGTGGAGGAGGTACTTAGGGAACATGGTTAGCGGACAATACTGGTGGTGGCTGGACAGTTGGATAGTTGGACTACGTCATCTTAGAGAACTTTCCCAACCTTAATGGTTCTACGATTCTATGATTCTAATAATTATAGTAATTCGTTGAATCCTTATTTTTGTCTTTAATCCATTTAAGAATCAGAAAGTATGGAGGGCGTAGGGGTCACACAACACAACCTGTGATATTTTCTGTAGCAGAAGTACCAATCAGCAAGAACTGAATCTGTGGTACTATTAGCGTTGACTTCCATCACGTTCCTGAAATTCAATTTGTTTTTGAAGAGTTCTTCAGCAGAGAATATAGGGTAAAATATTGCCACATATTATGCAGTGCATCAGGCAGTTTATGAGAAATTGTCATCTCCTGTAAAATCTTTTGTCTTATTCAAAGAGTAACCAGGAATCTCACAATATTTTTTTATTTCTGACACCCATATAGACAGCTCTAAATGTTCATATTCAGAATGCTTACTCAACAACAAATTCACAGTTCATTGAAAGTTAAATGTATTCATTTTCCCTTGTAAGTGGATGACAGGAAGGTGTTGGAATGGCTTACTTATAAAAATGGTTTGCATTTTGTTACAGCCAATAACTCCGGTGTGAACAAGCGGCAGATCACAGACCTGGTGGATCAGAGCATTCAGATCAATGCACATTGTTTTGTGGTCACAGCAGATAATCGCTACATTCTTATCTGTGGTTTCTGGGACAAGAGTTTTCGAGTTTATTCTACAGAAACAGGTGACCTAAGTACAACCAACTGTGTCTCCCTAGGTCACAAAGTGGGCTGCTGTCTTAATACAACTACGTTTAAT